AAACAATATTTCTTATATTTATACAGTACAGATTGAAAAGTATCATTCTCTATCAAAAAATGGGAATATTTTGTGTGTAAGCAATTTCTTCGGTTTCTCCCAATAAATACGACACACGGTCGAAGCTCTGTGGAGACGGGCTGCCTGCATCCTATCGTCGGCGATTCTCGTGTTTTTCTTCTCATCGTGTTTCATCCAAATGGCTGCGTCCACCATTCCGGCTGCTGAATCTGCGGATTCATCTAAACCGGCGGCTCACATCGTGCACACCGAGAGGCCTCAGGACGAGGAGCCTGAGGTCTACCACCTCCGAACTCTCTCCGCCGTCCTTGGCAGGTATGCTTCTCCGCTCTCTCTGTTTGGATTTGTTAGATAAGATTAGGCGAGAATCAATGAAATTTGAGCGGAAAGTTGTGAGATTTCCGTGATTGTATGTGGATTGATTCTGTGAACAGTGAGGAGGCTGCCAAGGAGGCGCTTCTGTACAGTTATAAGAACGCTGCGAGTGGATTCTCTGCCAAGCTTACTCCAGAGCAGGTTGAAGAAATGTCAAGTGAGTAATTCTCTCTTTTATGTTTCTGAATAATTGAGCCTGCTGTTGTCAATTTTACATTTCTAAATGCAATTTTGGTAATTTGAAAAGGGATGGGAAGAAAGAGAGTCGGCTAAGCTTCGATTGAATTTTTCTTATCACAAGTTTTTTTTTTTAAATGATTAAGGGATAATTTTTTTTAATTATTGATACTTTTACTTATTTAAAATATTTGATATTAAATATATCAATTTATTTAATAAAATATAAAAATTATATAAAAAAATAATATAAAAAAAATCTTACATATATCAACACCTTTTTTATTTTATAGTCTTGTTCCTCATTGTCATTGGCTTGTACCAGAAGATATCTTACGCGGTTTGTAACTTTTTCTTTTGACAGGACAGCCAGGAGTTCTTCAGGTTGTCCCAATCCGGAAGCTTCCGCTTCATTCTGGGTCAGGGAAGTCTCATTTTAGACCAGGAAATCTACACCCGAGCACTTAAAACCTTTTTTCACTCTAAAAAAATATATGTATCTTAAAGTTGTGTATAATCTATAAACAAGTCTACTCCAATCTCTGTACCTGTGACACTGCTGGTGGATTCCAAATAGTCTTGAAATCTGTCTTTACATGCAGACCCTTTCATGATTGTTTTTTCAATGTTCGATGTTAGTACACTTGCATGATTAGGGGTGCTAAAAATATCATATGATTTTTTAGGACTGGACTTTCGACCTCCAAAGTCTTCGGCAGTACAGACTGCTTAACGCATCTTTGCAAATTAGTTGTTGTGAAAAAAAAAAAAAAAATTGGCAAAAGGTGCAGATCACCCCCTCAACTCAACAACTGGTGGCAAATCACCCCCTTAACCCACTTCACACGCAAATCAGCCCCTCAACTCACTTGCAGTGGCAAATCACCCCCTGTGTTAACACCGGCACCATCCTTCCCATTGCAACTCGAGTCCTTGAATTTGTACAGTAATGGGCTCGAAGGGGCTTTACCGGAGAGCATTGCTAGTTCAAAACTACTGCACGAACTCAAATTGTTTAACAATAAACTCAGTGGGTCTTTGCCGAGTCAACTTGATGAAAACTCGCCATTGCAGCTCTTGGATTTATCTTATAATCAATTTTTTGGTATAATTCCTGAGAATTTGTGTGCAAAGGGAAAGTTAGAGGATCTTGTTCTGATGTACAATTCATTTTCCGGTGAAGTTCCGGTGAGTCTGGGGAAATGCAAAAGCCTTCTCTGGGTCAGACTGAAGCACAACGGCTTAACAGGTGGAGTCCCAGACAACTTCTGGGGGTTGCGCAGAGTATATTTGCTTGAGCTCGATGAGAATTTGCTTAGTGGGCAAGTTTCCCCGAGCATTTCTAATGCTCATAATCTGTCAATACTGTTGATTTCTGGGAATCAGTTTTCCGGGCCAATACTAGATGAGATTGGATTGCTGGGCAATATGGTGGTGTTCTTTGGGAGTGGTAACAGTTTCACAGGTCGGATTCCGGCTTCCATGGTGAAATTGAGGCAGTTGGATAGACTTGATCTTAGTAAAAATGAGCTCATTGGGGGTATTCCTAAAGGAATTAGTAAGTGGGTAAATTTGAATGAGCTAAATTTGGCTAACAATAGGTTATCTGGTAGAATTCCCAGTGAAGTAGGTAGCCTGCCTGTACTTAATTATCTTGATCTTTCTAGGAATTTATTTTCTAGGAAAGTGCCTATTAAGTTGCAGAATTTGAAGCTCAATTTGCTTAAGTTGTCGAATAACCAGCTTTTTGGAGAGCTCCCTCCTCTTTATGCTAACGAAATATACAGCAAGAGCTTCCCCTGCAACCCGGGATTGTCTGGTGATATAGTTGGTCTTTGTCCAGATACTGGTAAATCTAAGAACCGACAGTATCTATGGATTCTTAGATCAATTTTTATACTTGCTAGTGTGGTTTTTGTTGTGGACTGTTAGAAGTTAACGGAAGGATGGTGCTGGTGTTAACAGAGGGGGTGATTTGCCACTGCAGGTGAGTTGAGGGGGTGATTTGCGCATGAAGTGGGTTGAGGGGGTGATTTGCCACCAGTTGTTGAGTTGAGGGGGTGATCTGCACCTTTTGCCAAAAAAATTTATATAAAACGCTGATGTGTGCCCAGCATCAGATTGTGGGCCCAATATTAGGCCAGTGACTCCGGAACCCATCCATAGGGCTAAACTTTCAAAATTCCAAGGGAGATTCAACGGACGCCCCAAATTCTTTCCTTCATGAAAACGGAACAGCACAGGGACCTGGAAGATTGAAGCTTTCAAAACCAAAATTTATGAACAAATGTCTAATTTGATTGGCAAAATTGCAGAATTTCAATTCCAGGGAGAAAACCCGGAAGAGGGAATGGGAAAGAATCTTTCTTTATGAAAAGGGTGTAATTATTTTCTTGGTCAATCCAAAATTTTCATTGGGAAAGAGAGGGATCCAATCTGGGATTTGCAATGAACAGCAAGGGTAAATCGACGACATCGACAAAACCCTCAAGTACGGTTCTTCCTTACCAGACCCAAAAACTGAGAGACCACTTTTTGTTGGGGAAGAAGCTTGGTCAGGGCCAATTTGGCGTCACCCATCTGTGTTCCGAGAAGGCCACGGGTAATCTTTATGCGTGCAAATCCATCCCAAAGAGGAAGCTGCTGTGCCGCGAGGATTATGAGGATGTGTGGAGGGAGATTCAGATCATGCATCATTTATCAGAGCATGCAAATATCGTTAGGATCAAGAGTACGTATGAGGACTCTGTGTTTGTGCACCTGGTGATGGAGCTGTGTGCGGGCGGGGAGCTTTTTGATAGGATTGTGGCTAAGGGGCATCTTAGTGAGAGAGAGGCTGCTAAGCACATCAAGACAATTGTTGGTGTCGTGGAGGCATGCCACTCTCTTGGTGTCATGCATAGGGATCTCAAGCCTGAGAACTTCTTGTTTGATCGTCCTGGTGAGGATGCACAGCTCAAGGCTATAGATTTCGGCCTCTCTGTGTTCTATAAACCAGGTTTGTTCGTAGTTTTTTTCCTTCTTTGTCGTACTTGGAAACAAAATGGCAAATTCTTTGTTGGATGGTTAACGTAGCTTTGGAAGAAATGGATGGTTTTTACTTTTTATTTCTCATTTGGGGTTAATTTTCTCTTTGAAAGTTCAAAGACTTTTGTTGATTGTGTGCCTGGAACTGTTGGTGGATGCCGATTTCTTGCTTAGGTTGATTTTATTGTTTGGAAGTTATCTTTTGATCTTGTTAGTTGTTAATTGGCTTGATTCTTTAAAGTTTAACACCTATGAACTTGAAGGTTACTTTATCTTAATTTCTGTCCAGAACAATTTTTTAATGATGTTGTGGGGAGTGCTTATTATGTTGCACCTGAGGTCTTGCGCAAGCGGTATGGACCTGAAGTAGATATATGGAGTGCTGGTGTAATCCTTTACATCTTGTTAAGTGGGGTTCCACCATTTTGGGCTGGTAACTTTTTCAATTTTCTTACTAGTAGCAGCTGAAATTGAATTTGTTAATACACCGTCATGTGTTGTTCTCTGCAACATGCTGTGACTATCTTTTCTTCTTACTTGCAGAAACTGACGCCGGAATCTTCAAACAGATTTTGCTTGGAAAACTAGATCTTGAATCTGATCCATGGCCCAGTATCTCAGACAGTGCAAAGGATTTGATATTTAAAATGCTTGAGAGGGACCCAAGGAAAAGAATTTCTGTTCATGAAGTGCTATGTGAGTTAATTCTTATGGTTCCATTAGAGCTATTATTTGTTGCTATTTGCAGCCCTTCTGCTATATTTCTTATGTTTTGGTAAGTTGCAATAATGTATTGATTTTTGTCTCAGGTCACCCATGGATTGTGGATGATAGAGTTGCCCTGGACAAGGCTCTGGATTCTGCTGTATTGTCACGTTTGAAGCAATTCTCAGCAATGAACAAACTTAAAAAGATGGCTTTGCGTGTATGTGTTATCCTCCCCTTTTGAATTCTTTTAAATAAAGACTATTTTGTAGGGAAATTGCCATTGTAATCTGATTTTCAGCTATAAATCCTCTTGCATTCTAAAATCTAATTTTAAAAGAGCACCTGCTGCTAATGATTTGTGATGTTGACTGTGCCTTTTAGAAGATGAAAGATTTCTGCAATTGCAGAGCTGTATATTCTGTTATCCAGCATTATAAGAATTCTAAGACGTTCTTGTTGGTATATGTTAAATGTGGTTTTTTTAGATGCTGTCTCATATCAATCATTCTTGGACGAAACTCAAAAGAGTTTGAACACCAATAAGTCTGGTTAATGAAAATTGTTCTGGCTGCACTCAGTCATACTTTAAATGGTATAAGAGGAGTAGAGTAGCTTGTGGCATAGCTCTTTCTCTTCATATTGTCTATCACGGTATGGAAACAAAAAGAAGTTAAATTCTCTGTATGATTTTGTCTGTTTCATTGTAATTTGGCAAAATGTGTTTGTTCTAGTATTTATATAAATGTTTCATTTATATTTCACATTGCAAAGATAATTATTTTGCAGGTCATTGCAGAAAGACTTTCGGAGGAAGAAATTGGTGGTTTGAAGGAGTTGTTCAAAATGATTGACACAGACAACAGTGGATCCATAACGTTTCAGGAACTAAAAGATGGTTTAAAAAAAGTTGGCTCTGAACTAATGGAATCAGAAATCAAGTCACTAATGGATGCAGTAAATAACTTTCTTTCTTAACTTTTTTTTTTTTTTTTAATGAAGAAAATAGCAGTAGTTTTAATATTTGTATTCTCTTCTGAATGACAATTGCCATGGGGAACTTGGGCAGGCCGATATAGACAATAGTGGAACAATTGACTATGGTGAATTTCTTGCTGCCACTCTGCATTTAAATAAGATGGAGAGAGAGGAGAATTTGATCGCAGCCTTCACCTTTTTTGACAAAGATGGTAGTGGTTATATCACCATAGATGAGCTTCAACAGGCTTGCAAAGATTTCGGTATGGATGATGTTCAGCTGGATGAGATGATGAAGGAAATCGATCAGGACAATGTAAGCCTTTCTGGTTGATTAAATCCAAACTTAAAAGTTGATTGTTTCTGCACATCAATACTTTTTTCTATTTCATACATTTAGATGTGGTAAATGGAAAGGAACTTTCTGAATAAATCCCTCTGAACTTTGGAGTTGCATTGTTTATCATCTTATCTTCTGTTGGAAGGCATTACAATGAATTAAAAGTAGCAAATCCATTTGTCGAGCTTTTGCTCCAAACTTTACCTTTGTGATTGTGTCCACCTGCAGGATGGACGGATAGATTATGGCGAGTTTGCTGCAATGATGAAGCGTGACTCGGAAGTTGGAAGGAGCAGAACAATGAGAGGCAACCTGAACTTCAGTTTATCTGAGGCACTTGGAGTGAAGGACCAGTAGACCCCGATATTGATAACTAAAATCTTTTGTATGGTTTGAGAAGACTCAAGGTGCCATTCGGATTGTGGCCATATAATGTTTTTATATATATGTGTTAAAGTAGGTTTTTTTTTAGACTACTTCTTTTAAAATTGATAAAAAAATCATAATAGATTTA